ACAGACACACTCACACAAAGAAGAAAGTCACCCCTCCCCCACTCTTGATGATTAAGCTAGAGTAGACACAAATTCCATACTGTTCAGTGAACTGTGTCACTCCCAGCTGGTCAGTGACCTGTAATATCCCGCTCTGCTCAGTGTAACGTGTCCCATCATAGTGGTCAGTGTACTGTGTCCCCCCCCCCCCTTTCAATGGTCGGTTAAACTAATGTTGGTCCCCCCAAACATAGTAGGTCACGTTTCATTCGTAAGTTTGTAGGGCTGGTCTACCTTCCTGTAGGTTAACGGGTGTGCCACTCTGATCTTTGCTTTTTGGGTTGTCTTGCATTTACGTTTGTATTCCGAGGAAAAAAATGCCTGTGACGTAGGTTGCAGCACTCTCTAGGGGGTTTGTGTTAGACCCAGTTTTTTCCTTGTTTTTGGAGTGTTAAAAGCGCTAGCGTGCTGAAATATACAACATGTGTTATCTACAGAATTGCAGAAACCCCCTGTGACCTTGTGCCAGGGCAACGTGGCTCAAGGTCGACCAATCAGAAGTGTAACATCGTGTAACACTATTATAATGGGGAGAGCAACGTTAGTTGTACCCAATAGTCAGAGAATTGTGGCAGACAACAGTGGTTAGAGAAATGCATCCTTCTACAGTGATCAGAGAACTGTGTCCTCACACAGTGATCAGAGAATTGTGTCCTCCCACACTGATCAGAGAACTGTGTCCTCCCACAGTGATCAGTAAACTGTGTCCTCCCACACTGATCAAAGAACTGTGTCCTCCCACAGTGATCAGTAAACTGTGTCCTCCCACACTGATCAAAGAACTGTGTCCTCCCACACTGATCAGAGAACTGTGTCCTCCCACAGTGATCAGAGAACTGTGTCCTCCCACAGTGATCAGAGAACTGTGTCCTCCCACAGTGATCAGTAAACTGTGTCCTCCCACAGTGATAAGTAAACTGTGTCCTCCCACACTGATCAGAGAACTGTGTCCTCCCACACTGATCAGAGAACTGTGTCCTCCCACACTGATCAGAGAACTGTGTCCTCCCACACTGATCAGAGAACTGTGTCCTCCCACACTGATCAGAGAACTGTGTCCTCCCACGGTGATCAGTGAACTGTGTCCTCCCACACTGATCAGTGAACTGTGTCCTCCTACAGTGATCAGTGAACTGTGTCCTCCCACAGTGATCAGTGAACTGTGTCCTCCCACACTGATCAGAGAACTGTGTCCTCCCACAGTGATCAGAGAACTGTGTCCTCCCACAGTGATCAGTGAACTGTGTCCTCCCACACTGATCAGAGAACTGTGTCCTCCCACACTGATCAGAGAACTGTGTCCTCCTACAGTGATCAGTGAACTGTGTCCTCCCACAGTGATCAGAGAACTGTGTCCTCCCACAGTGATCAGAGAACTGTGTCCTCCTACAGTGATCAGTGAACTGTGTCCTCCCACAGTGATCAGAGAACTGTGTCCTCCCACAGTGATCAGTGAACTGTGTCCTCCTACAGTGATCAGAGAACTGTGTCCTCCTACAGTGATCAGTGAACTGTGTCCTCCCACAGTGATCAGAAAACTGTGTCCTCCCACAGTGATCAGAGAACTGTGTCCTCCTACACTGATCAGAGAACTGTGTCCCCCCACACTGATCAGAGAACTGTGTCCTCCTACAGTGATCAGAGAACTGTGTCCTCCCACAGTGATCAGAGAACTGTGTCCTCCTACAGTGATCAGAGAACTGTGTCCTCCTACAGTGATCAGTGAACTGTGTCCTCCTACAGTGATCAGCGAACTGTGTTCTCACACAGTGATCAGTAAACTGTGTCCTCCCACAGTGATCAGTGAACTGTGTCCTTCCACAGTGATCAGTGAACTGTGTCCTCCCACAGTGATCAGAGAACTGTGTCCTCCTACACTGATCAGAGAACTGTGTCCTCCTACAGTGATCAGTGAACTGTGTCCTCCCACAGTGATCAGTGAACTGTGTCCTCCTACACTGATCAGAGAACTGTGTCCTCCTACACTAATCAGAGAACTGTGTCCTCCTACAGTGATCAGTGAACTGTGTCCTCCTACAGTGATCAGTGAACTGTGTCCTCCTACAGTGATCAGTGAACTGTGTCCTCCTACAGTGATCAGTGAACTGTGTCCTCCTACAGTGATCAGAGAACTGTGTCCTCCTACAGTGATCAGTGAACTGTGTCCTGCTACAGTGATCAGTGAACTGTGTCCTCCTACAGTGATCAGTGAACTGTGTCCTCCTACACTGATCAGAGAACTGTGTCCTCCTACACTGATCAGAGAACTGTGTCCTCCTACAGTGATCAGTGAACTGTGTCCTCCTACAGTGATCAGTGAACTGTGTCCTCCTACAGTGATCAGTGAACTGTGTCCTCCTACAGTGATCAGTGAACTGTGTCCTCCTACAGTGATCAGAGAACTGTGTCCTCCTACAGTGATCAGTGAACTGTGTCCTCCTACAGTGATCAGTGAACTGTGTCCTCCTACAGTGATCAGTGAACTGTGTCCTCCTACACTGATCAGAGAACTGTGTCCTCCTACACTGATCAGAGAACTGTGTCCTCCTACAGTGATCAGTGAACTGTGTCCTCCTACACTGATCAGAGAACTGTGTCCTCCTACAGTGATCAAAGAACTGTGTCCTCCCACAGTGATCAGTGAACTGTGTCCTCCCACAGTGATCAGTGAACTGTGTCCTCCCACAGTGATCAGAGAACTGTGTCCTCCCACAGTGATCAGTGAACTGTGTCCTCCCACAGTGATCAGAGAACTGTGTCCTCCCACAGTGATCAGTGAACTGTGTCCTCCCACAGTGATCAGAGAACTCTGTCCTCCCACAGTGATCAGTGAACTGTGTCCTCCCACAGTGATCAGAGAACTGTGTCCTCCCACAGTGATCAGAGAACTGTGTCCTCCCACAGTGATCAGAGAACTGTGTCCTCCCACAGTGATCAGAGAACTGTGTCCTCCCACAGTGATCAGAGAACTGTGTCCTCACACACTGATCAGAGAACTGTGTCCTCCCACACTGATCAGAGAACTGTGTCCTCCCACACTGATCAGAGAACTGTGTCCTCCTACACTGATCAGAGAACTGTGTCCTCCTACACTGATCAGAGAACTGTGTCCTCCCACACTGATCAGTGAACTGTGTCCTCCCACAGTGATCAGAGAACTGTGTCCTCCCACAGTGATCAGTGAACTGTGTCCTCCTACAGTGATCAGAAAACTGTGTCCTCCCACAGTGATCAGTGAACTGTGTCCTCCTACAGTGATCAGTGAACTGTGTCCTCCCACACTGATCAGAGAACTGTGTCCTCCCACAGTGATCAGAGAACTGTGTCCTCCTACAGTGATCAGTGAACTGTGTCCTCCCACACTGATCAGAGAACTGTGTCCTCCTACAGTGATCAGTGAACTGTGTCATCCCACAGTGATCAGTGATTTGTGTCCTCCTACAGTGATCAGAGAACTGTGTCCTCCCACACTGATCAGAGAATTGTGTCCTCCCACAGTGATCAGAGAACTGTGTCCTCCCACACTGATCAGAGAATTGTGTCCTCCTACAGTGATCAGTGAACTGTGTCCTCCCACAGTGATCAGTGATTTGTGTCCTCCTACAGTGATCAGTGAACTGTGTCCTCCCACAGTGATCAGTGAACTGTGTCCTCCCACACTGATCAGTGAACTGTGTCATCCCACAGTTTTCAATGAATTGTGTCCTCCCACACTGATCAGTGAACTGTGTCCTCCTACAGTGATCAGTGAACTGTGTCCTCCTACAGTGATCAGTGAACTGTGTCCTCCCACAGTGATCAGTGAACTGTGTCCTCCTACAGTGATCAGTGAACTGTGTCCTCCTACAGTGATCAGTGAACTGTGTCCTCCCACAGTGATCAGTGAACTGTGTCCTCCTACAGTGATCAGTGAACTGTGTCCTCCCACAGTGATCAGAGAACTGTGTCATCCCACAGTGATCAGTGAACTGTGTCCTCCTACAGTGATCAGTGAACTGTGTCATCCCACAGTTTTCAATGAATTGTGTCCTCCCACACTGATCAGTGAACTGTGTCCTCCTACAGTGATCAGTGAACTGTGTCCTCCCACAGTGATCAGAGAACTGTGTCCTCCTACAGTGATCAGTGAACTGTGTCCTCCTACAGTGATCAGTGAACTGTGTCCTCCTACAGTGATCAGTGAACTGTGTCCTCCCACAGTGATCAGTGAACTGTGTCCTCCTACAGTGATCAGTGAACTGTGTCCTCCCACAGTGATCAGTGAATTGTGTCCTCCCACACTGATCAGTGAACTGTGTCCTCCTACAGTGATCAGTGAACTGTGTCCCCCCACACTGGTCAGTTAATTGTGACACACTACAGTGGTCACTGAACTTTATCATCCCGCCTTGGTCAGTGAATATATCAGGTGAAAATCCCTTGTCTGGAACACTTACTGATCAGGTTGTCAGATAAACCCAGTTCTAACTTCATAGCAAACGGACTACCTCATAACTGCTATGTTCCCGTGCCAACGAAAACCACACAGAATGTCAATCAGTGTGGAGAAATTAACTCATACAGCAGTTTAAGAAAATCCAATACCATAAATGCGCCATCAAAAAGTGCCAACACAAACAGTCCGACATAAGAAATTCAGTTCATCTTTGATGAAAGCAGCAGTTACAACAGATCAGTAGTTGCACACGCGATAATCACATAAGGCACCACAGTTCAGTGGCAATAGGTCACTGAATATTTTGTGAATCACAACACAAAGCACGTTGGGCACATTTGAAAAGCATTCTGACTGAAACACGAAGACGAAAATATCGAATGTGAGCAACTGACTGCGAATAGGAACACATGTCGTCCCCAAGTTAAATCAAGGTAAGGTGACATCACTATCAGGGGTGGATATGTGGGTGCCCGCTGTCGTAGTAAATTTGACTACTTAGTCACATGTATTTCTTGCAGACAACTGTCAGGCCTCCCAGGCATTGGTTTTCAAGATCCGACACTTTGAGTGAGTCCTGGAACCATAACACGCCCACCATGACGCAATGGACCAAAACCAATAGAAAAACGACAGGCAAGCCAAGCCACGCCCCTACGGGAATGGTCATTTGAGTGACAAATATTAGAATGAGCACCCAGCCAATCATATCTGAGGGTAAGTGACGTGGATATGAGGTGCCGATGTCGTAGTAAATTTGAACAGTCAAGAGCAGCCACATCAGGCCTCCCAGGCATTCTGGCGAATACACAAGAAATAAAGTACAAACAAGGGGCGCATGTAATCTACAAGAAATAAAGGACTAACGAGGGACGCATGCAATCTACATAAAATAAAGGACAAACAAGGGGCACATGTAATCTACAAGAAATAAAGGACTAACAAGGGGCGCATGTAATCTAAAAAAAATAAAGGACTAACAAGGGATAGATTACATCAACAAGACAGGAAGAAAACAGTCTACAGACGACATCAAGAAGAAAGGAAGAAAACAGTGGATAGACGATATCAACAAAAAAGGGAAGAAAAGAGTGGATAGTTGCATCAACAAGTGAGGAAGCAAAACAGTGGATACAGGACATCAACAAAAAAGTGGATAAAGGACATCAACAAAACAGGAAAGAAAGTGAATAAACGACATCAACAAGTGAGGAAAAAGATAGGGGAGACGACACTTCAGTAAGGCAAGCATCAGAGAGGTTACATTTAATGACAGAAGAGGCAAACAGGGAAGAAATATATCTAAAGAAAGGACAGACTTCCTTTTTTTCTTTCTCCTCCTTCTTCTTCTTTTTCTTATTCTTCTTCTTCCTCCTCATTCTTCTTCTTGTTTTTCTTCTTCTTTTCTTTTTCTTCTTCTTCTTCTTCTTCTTCTTCTTCTTCTTCTTCTTCTTCTTCTTCTTCTTCTTCTTCTTCTTCTTCTTCTTCTTCTTCTTCTTCTTCTTCTTTGCGTTCGGTTTCATATGCTCAGATCAGACCATCAGGTGGGTTGCCTCTATGAACTAGCATGTCAATAGAAAGTCCTTCATGGTTCCCCATAGCTTGCTCTGCACACTGTGCTCTTGAGGCCAGGTGTCTTTTCGAAGATGTAGGTAGAGTGGGCAGGTCTGCAGAATGTGCTCAGTTGTATGTGGTCATGTCTGACAGTCACACTGTGGGGACTTTACAATCTTTATTTTATGCATGTGGTAGTTGAGCCTACAGTGTCCTGTTCGTAGACGGAAAATTGTTGTATGTTACTTTCTGTTGAGTCTGCTGATGGGGTCTTGTGAATGTTTACTGTTGGTTTGTTCCCTCCACAATTCCCTGTATTTCGAAGGCAGCATACCTGTGTTTTCATTTCTGGTAAAGACAATGAATAGATATGTTGTTTCTCTGTTTTCCATATTTTGTAAGTTTGTCTGCTAACTCATATCCTGGTATGCCGCAGGGAGCCGGGATTTGGTATGCCGCAGTGAGCCGGGATCTGGTATGCCGCAGTGAGCTGGGATCTGGTATGCCGCAGTGAGCCGGGATCTGGTATGCCGCAGTGAGCTAGATCTGGTATGCCGCAGTGAGCTGGGATCTGGTATGCCGCAGTGAGCCGGGATATGGTATGCCTCAGTGAGCTGGGATCTGGTATGCCGCAGTGAGCTGGGATCTGGTATGCCGCAGTGAGCCGGGATTCACTAGAGTGGATCTCAAACTTTTTTTTTTCGCTGCGCACCCTTGTCGAACTACAAACATTTCGCGGCACACCTATTCCTTAAAGCTGTTTTGAATGCTTAGGAAAAGAAGGAAAAATAGTGCATATTTAATGTTCGGTTGGCCTTAGTGCAATGAATGAAACTGTTTGGGGAAATTTTTATCATTTCCTTTATGTATATAGAGATTTCAGGTAATTTTACCCTCAAATCACGTGACCCAGAAAGTTTGCTCCTGTGTCTGGTTTTTTTTTTTTTTTTTTAAGAGTACGTTATGAATGCACTGCGGCCTTGCAAATAGCTTTGTCTTCTGAAAAATACCTGCATCCAGAACTGTTCTTGGCTTTTTTTCGCTGTATTTCTGTTTTAAACTGCTGTCTTTAAAGATTTAAAAAAACATTCCTGATTATTACCGCGACACCACTGGCATACGCTCGCGGCACCCAGCTTGCGAACCTCTTCACCAGAGAACGATATGACTGTTTTCTGACAGTCTGTTTAGCTGGCGTATCAGTTCTCTCTCCATGTTGACTTGTGGATCACTCTGAATCGCCTGGGGGCCTGACATGCAGTCACATAGAAAAAACAAATTGCTGTGTTCAATTTTTCTTTCCTCTAACTGATTCTTGGTTTGGTCACCTAATGAGAGGCAACGATGCCAGCATCGCAGCATACACATGAAAATCGAAACACCAAGAGGCAGGGGAAGACCAAGAAGAAGATGGATTGAAGGAGTCACGGCTTGTGTTTAACATCACGGCATATGAAGCGACTGATTTTTCTTTCCTCGACGCTAGCGGCACAAGCAGATTTGGACAACAGAAGAAGAATAACTGTTTGGTGCTCTGCTCTTAAGTTTGTTAAAAGTCTGCAGGAGGAGAATGAGGTTTCTCCTGTGGTCCTGTCTTGCAGCACGATGACCGATCCAGCTCCTTCCTTTTTTCTTGTCTGCTCCCGTCAATGATCCATCGTGTACACGTGTGTCCATTCGGGTTTTGAGTAATAGTTGTAGACATGTTTAAGGGTCGTTGTAGACAGTACTAGGTCACATTCTTCAGCCTTTCTGTCTATGCCTGGAATTGTTGTTGTGACTGTATAGTTAGGCTGTAGATCTATGCTGTATGTTTGGATCATTTCCCATATTGAAGGATCTTTAGAAAGAATGTCACTGCATGGGGTCGTTTTTCGTACGTTTACATTTTTCCATTAGGGTATGCACCTCTTCTTCCCTTCAAAGGCTCAAACAATGGAGGCCAGAAGTTGTCTCCAGCTCATGGACTAGTGTGCTTCTCATACCTCCAGTGATTGATTCTGAGATCAGTGTTCTGTATTTTGTCCAGTTTGTGTAGGTTTTGATTTGGCTGCAGTAGAGTATGCTCATATGCCATACTCCAGTTTTGGTCATACGTATCCTGTGTATACTTGTCGTCCAGTGTTGGCATCTGCACCCCAGCTTGTTCTAGTAAAGTGCTTCATGTCTGAGCCGCAGGGTAGCTTTCCTTGGGTGTCTTCAATTTGGGAACCCCAGGTTAGTCTTTTGTCGATTGTTACTTCCAAATATGTTGGGTTTTTTTTTTTTTCTTGAAATAATGTTGCCTTCTAGGTAGAGAACAGCTTGTTCTAGATTTGTAGAAAGAGAGAATAAAGTCCGAGACGGTTATGGTCTGGTTTATTTTAACTCCCCAAGAGTCTGTCCATTTCTTAATTGTATTTAAAGCTTCCTGCATTCTTGTTTTAGTTGTTCCTTGTGTTCAGATTTGTTCCACCTGGCCAGGTCATCTGCATATAGGGCCTTGTCAATGTTTAAAATTCACCGGCAAATGTATGGCCTTTTATCCCGCAGTGTGCTAGTTTTAGCAAGAGCCTTCCAGGCCGTATCAACAGCTTTGGTCAAGTCGAAGAAAGTAGCTAGCAGTTTGTATTTCATCTGGAAAGCATCTTTAATTTCCTGTGCGATAGAGGAGGTTTGGTCATCAGTGCTTCTGTATCTCCTGAAGCCTGAATAGCTGTCATCCAATATCTTGTTGTCTTCCAGGAAATTCTGTAAGCTGTTGTTCACTAATCTCTCCATGGTCTTCCAAGACAGCTAAGTGGGCTTTTAGGACGGTGACTAAATTTCCTGGACTTTCCTTTCTTGTCTATGCAGACTATTTCTGCCTCCTCCCATTCCTTTGGAAGTAGTCCCTGGGTCCAGCACTGACTGACAAGGTCTAAGAGTTGCCTACCAGCTGGTCCCAAGTGTACTATCATTTCCTTTGTCATTCGGTCAGGTTCCGGTGTTTTTGTTTGCTTAAAGTTTCCTTCTGTAAATTCAAGTTGTTGGGGACTGAAGAGTGTAATCATTTTTTTCTTGGTTATTTTCTTGCTTTTTATTGGTTTTACTCAGCTCCCTCGTCACTTCATCTTCTCTCGCTCTAGACATAAAGATGTTGCTTTCCTCTGCAAAACCATCAGCCAGCAGGTTTGCTGCTTGTTTACCAATGAAAGTTTTCCCACCATTTTCAATGTCAGTGTTGGCATGGTTGGTATTATTCTCCTCATGTAGCCTGTTTACTAGATGCCATAACTTTTTACCATCTTCCTCCACGTTGAGAGCTGCAGTCAGTTGCTGTCATCTTCTCCTGATGCATGTCAGTTTTTCTCTTCTATAAATTGCCTGAGGTTTATTGTGTTCTGTTACGTTGAGATCAGACTGATCTTGTTCCATCTGTATTCTTGCTTCTGTGCTTCTTTCATGCAAAAGTTGCAGTTCTTGTGTCCAGAATGGTTCATAGTTTTGCCTTCGACCTCTGTTGATTGACTTTTGTGCTAGTTTAAGTATGAAACTGGTAAGAGTTGTGGTGTTTTTTTCCAGCCTTATTCGTTCAGTTTTCATAAAGGTCCCAGTCTGCTTTCTTGTAGCTCCAGCTGGCGATTTTCTTCCTGTTTTCTGGTGGCTTGGCCTCTCCTATGTTGATGTTTGTTTTATGTTTATTCAGCAGATCAACGTCACGAGTGTAAGTGCTCCGTTCTACTTCTTACTCAAAGCTGAGTCTGAGGAATCTCAGTACAGTGCACGAACTCCGTTGCACCGGCGAGGATTCTGAAATACTTTGGGTAGATTTTCAACTCCCCATTTAGCCCGGGCAGCGCCGTTGGGCTACTGATTTTACCTCTTCTATCATGACGACGACTGGTTTGTGATCACTTCCTGTCAGTTGTTTCATCACTTCTCTGTGTGCCCTTAGCTGGATGTTTTCTGTAGCTAGGTCTTGTGTACTTTGTGGTAGCTAGCATCTAGAGTAGAAGGTTGGTTCAGAGTCAGGTTCATTGATTAGTATCAGCAGGTTTTCTACCATCTATTCCTCTACCTCTTCTCCTCTTGTGTCCATAGAAGCATAGGCCCACCTAGACTAAAGTCACCAAGAATTAGGTGGCTATTATCAGCTTCTTTGATGTCCTGTAGTTCCAATTTCTTGTTGTTGGGACAGTACAAGTTAGTCAGGTGTAGCAGCTCTGGGAGGGTATGAAGTTTTCTGTCTAGCTTGCATGTATCATAGCCTCTGACAGTAAGGTACAGACCAACAGGAGACACATACATTTAAAGTTAGCAGAGATTGAAACGAGTGAAACGAGAAACAAACAGGTGATATTTACATCGAAGGAAAGGGGAGACAAACAGGGGAGAAACAAACCTCAAGAGAATCAAACAAGGGATAAATGCATTTAAATAAAAGCGAGACAAACAGGGGAGAAATAATCTAAAGAAAGGAGATACAAACAAGGGAGAGGGGATATCTACAACAAAGATAGATAAAAAGGGAAGAGATGACATCTGTAGAAAGAAGAGACAAACAGGGGAGAAATGCATCTAAAGAAAGGAGAGACAAACAGGGTGGATATTATTTCTAAAGAAAGTAGAAATAAACAGGGGATACAAATAATATCAAAAGAAATGAGAGATAAACAGGGGGAAAATACATCTAAAGAAAGTAGAGATAAACAAGGGGAAAATACATCTAAAGAAAGGAGAGGTAAACAGGGGGAAAATACATCTAAAGAAAGGAGAGATAAACAGGGGGAAAATACATCTAAAGAAAGGAGAGATAAACAGGGGGAAAATACATCTAAAGAAAGTAGAGATAAACAGGGAGAAAATACATCTAAAGAAAGGAGAGGTAAACAGGGGGAAATTATATAAATATATATATATATATATATATATATATATATATATATATATATATATATGATATATATATATATATATATAAAGTAAGTAAATATATATTTTTCCACTTCTTCAGGCGTATATGGGTATATATATATATATTATAGACCAACAGCACAAGGTGAGTGATGTGGTCAGCTTCACGCCGGCCGTCTTTACTGCCCAAGACTGCACCTGGTACCCACGGCATGGCATGGTCGACAAGAAGTAAAATCTATTTTTGAAAAAGTTCAGGCTCCGCTAGAGAGGTAACCCACGACCTTCTGATCACCTGGCGAACGTCTAGCCGCTACGCCACGGCGACTCTCTCTCTCTCTAAATCTCTATATATATATATATATATATATATATATATATATATATATATATATATATATATATATAGAGAGAGAGAGAGAGAGAGAGAGAAACAAGAGAAAAACAGAGGAAAGATGACATCAGAAGAAAGAAGAGATAAATATTGGATACATACATGTAAGAAATAGGAGACAAAACTGGGAGAAATATATTAAAAGAAAAAAGAGACAAGCAGATGATAAATACATCAAAAGAAAGGAGAGATAAACTGGGAAGAAAAAACGTCTAAAGAAAGGAGAGAAAAACAGTTGACAAACACATCTAAAGAAGGAGAGACAAACAGGGGAGAGATGACATACAAAGAAAGGATAGAAAAACAGTTGACAAATACATCTAAAGGAAGGAGAGACAAACTGGGAAGAGGAACGTCTAGAGAAAGGAGAGAAAAACAGTTGACAAACACATCTAAAGGAAGGAGAGACAAACAGAGGAGAGATGACATACAAAGAAAGGAGAGAAAAACAGTTGACAAACACATCTAAAGGAAGGAGAGACAAACAGGGAAGAGATGACATACAAAGAAAGGAGACAAAAACAGTTGACAAATACATCTAAAGAAGGCGAGACAAACAGGGAGATATATCTAAACAATGGAGTGACAAACAAGGGAGAGTTATCTAAAGAAGGGAGTGACAAACAATGGAGAGATATCTAAAGAATGGAGAGACAAACAAGGGATTTGATTTGATTGATTTGATTTGATTTGATTTGAATCAAGAACCGACATCACAGCACTCCCATAAGCGATCCGTCCCCATTTGCAGCAGCCAGCGAAGAGTTTAAATACCAATGGTGCCAGTAGCTTTCTGATTAAACGTCCGTCTTGCCTTTCCTCTGAGCCACGAGCATCTGCCAGAACCTCTCGTCACTCCCAACTGCATCAATCTCACCAGACTATGGTGATCCATCTGCTCCTCCGCATTGTACACGCTCTCCCACAAGGCACTAACCACGTCTGCCTTATCATGCATCAGTATTCCACCAAGCTGTGCAGAGCCAGCCAGTCTGTCTGCTTGTTCATTTCCCAACACACCGGCATAACCTGGTGAAAAATCCAGACAATACTCCTCACCCGTGTCTTCCGCAGCGAGGCATGCCATTCTGCTCGAAGCATGCCTGTCCTGATCTTCCTCAGCATGCTTTCTGAGTAAGTTACAATCACAATGTGTGAGTGTGTGTCGTTTTCTCTAGCCAGCGGAAAGCTGCTATGACCGCCTCCACCTCCATTCTTAAGCTGGATGATGTGGTATCATATGCTAGGCTCTCCTGCATCAAACGTCGACCATCAAATTTTGCTAAGAAAACCAAGCACTTCTTTTGCCTCTTGACACTGAACCGTCTGTGCATAAATGACATCTACAATAAAGAAAGGGCAACATAGTGGATAAATGGCATCTACAATAAAGAAATGACACAGTGGATAAATGACACCTACAATAAAAGAAGGACAAATAGTGAAAAGATTACATCTACAATAAAGGAAGGACAAATAGTGGATAAAAGACATCTACAATAAAAAAAAGGACAAATAGTGGATAGATGACATTTACAATAAAAAAGAGCAAATAGTGTATAGATGACATCTACAATAAAAGAAGGGCAAATAGTGGATAGTTGACATCTACAATAAAGGAAGGACAAATAGTGGATAAAAGACATCTACAATAAAAAAGGACAAATAGTGGATAGATGACATTTACAATAAAAAAGAGACAAATAGTGTATAGATGACATCTACAATAAAAGAAGGGCAAACAGTGGATAAACGAAATCTACAATTAAAAAAGGACAAATAGTGGATAAATGACATCGACAATTGAAGAAAGACTAATAGTGGATAGATGAAATCTACAATACATGAAGAACACATAGTGTTTAGATGAAATCTACAATAAAAGAAGGACAAATAGTGGATAAATGACATCTAAAATACAGGAGGGACAAATAGTGGATAGATGACATCTACAATACGTAAAGGACAAGTAATGGATGATTGACTTCTACAATACAGAAAGAACAAATGGTGGAAAAATTACGTCTTCTATACAGGAAGGACAAGTAGTGGATAGATGACATGTGCTGTACAGGAAGGACAAATAGTGGATAGTTGACATCTACAATACAGGAAGCACAAATAGTGGATAGATGACATCTGTAGTACAAGAAGGACAAATAGTGGAAAGATGACATCTACAAAAGAGAAAAGACAAATGGTGGTTAGGTGACAACTACAATAAAGGAATAACTAATAGTGGATAAATGACAAATGCAATACACGAAAGACAAATAAATAATATATAACATCTACAATAAAGGAAGGACAAATCGTGGCTGAATGACATCTACAATACAAGAAGGACAAATATTACATAAATGACATTTAAAATAAAGGAAGGACAAATATTACATAAATGATATCTAAAATAAAGGAAGGACAAATAGTGGATAAATAACATCTGCAATTAAAAAAAAGACAAATAGTGGATATATGACATCTACAGTAAGATAGGACAAATTGCGGATAAAGGACATCTACAATAAAGGAAAGACAAACAATGTATACATGAAATATTCAATAAAAGAAGGACAAATAGTGGATAAGTGACATCTACAGTAAGATAGGACAAATTGTGGATAGTTGACATCTATAATGAAGGAAGGACAAACTGTAAAAATGAAATCTACAATAAAAGAATGACAAATAGTGGATAAATAACATCTACAATACAGGAAGGACAAATAGTGGATAAATGACATCTACAATACAAGGAAAACAAATAGTGGAGAGAGGACATTTACAAGACAGGAAGGTCAAGAGTTTGTGAAGCTATGCTGAGGACACTTACCCGACAGAATGTCCCCTAAATGTCCAAACTTGATGACCACAAACAGGGTGAAGACCAGGACAGCAGCCACACAAACCACAATGACCCTGTCCAAGATCTGCTCTCTGAAGCCAGGCACTAGGTCCAGTACTAGACACTGGATAGCGTGCACTGTTGACATGGCAACCAGAACAGGAAGTACTCCCAAGCGCTGACGCCGGAAGTAAGACCTGTACACCTTCTCGTCGTGCTGGTCGAAGCTGATGATGAGCGCGTGAGGCTGCAGGGCTGTCAGTGCGAAACTCCTGGCCTGCTCCTTCTGTCCTGAGCTGAGGCCGTTGTCGCTGTGGTCAGTGACTTTGTTGTTAGCCATGCCATGTTTGAAATAGGCCACACTCGGCCACAAGCTGACGTTGTGTGGCTTCGATGCTTCTTTGCGAGCATCCCGAGTTCCTGGACTTTCCGTCTCACTCCTGTCCATTGGAGTTATTTGACTCATGGCTGCCTGGTGCTGCAAAGATGCCAGATACTATGGCAGTATGTCGGCTCAATGGACAAAGTCCAGGCTAATGTTAACAAGTCCATTGATTGACAGTCCATACTGATGCAAGTGGAGCAGTATCGAGTATCGCTGTTTAACGATAGAACCGAGGCTGGTGCAGTCACGAGTAGATTCCCACGAACACAGCGCTCTTTGCCTGGCTGTGTGATCTCTGACAGGGCTCAGTCCACATAAGATATGATGTCTACCGTGTTACAGTTGTGAGAGTTAGTCCACATCGGAAATATTGCCCACGTTTTACAGTTCTGGGGACCAGTCTTGTTCTGTGCTAGTCTCAAACAAAATTCCTGCTAACAGTCTGGTTCTGTTACTGACAAACTTGCCACCAATTGTCGGCGTGGACTGAGAACTCTGTGCATGGACTAGACCAACCAAGGGTTGAGTGTCAACATTTCACCACAGAGGGTGATCCAAATGTGGACAGAATCTCGGGTCAAGGTGTCAGGGGACATTCCACGTCTTCTCGCTGTTTTGTTTCTGGTTTGTATAAAAGGGGAGGCGGTGGAGAGTTTACGTAACACAAACAGTTTACAGCTGTTAGCTCAACTTGGAACCATTTTATATTGGTTGTTTCAACTTGGAGAAATCGACGGGGGTTGTTTCAACTTAAAGAATTTGACTTTGGTTGTTTCAACTTGGCGAAATTGACTTTGGTTGTTTAAACTTGAAGAAATTGACGTTGGTTGTTTCAACTTGAAGAAATTGACGTTGGTTGTTTCAACTTGAAGAAATTGACGTTGGTTGTTTCAGCTTGGAGAAATTGACGTTGGTTGTTTCAACTTCGAGAAATTGACGTTGGTTGTTTCAGCCTGCAGCCATGTTATGTTTGTCGTCTGAGATAGGCTTCAATGGCTACTTGTGAAAATGTCCTCACCGCAGCTCTGGTTGTTACTCTTTAGAGTAGTGACTCTCAGCCTTCCTAATGCCGCGACCTTTTCATACACTTCACTCATGTTGTGGCGACCTCCAAACAATTATTTCCCTTCATAACTTCCGCATGCTTTCAGATGGTCTTAGGCGATCGCTGTGAAAAGGTAGTTCGACCTAAAAAAAAAAAAAAAAATGGTCGCAAACCAGAAGATTGATCTGTTATTGTTGGTGTGTAAGTTGTAGCTCTGGTTGTTACACTTTAGAGTGATCTGTTATTGTTGCTGTGTAACTTGTGGAGTGCCTTCACCGCAGCTCTGGTTGTTACACTCTAGAGTGAACTGTTGTTGTTGCTGTGTAACTTGTGAAGTGCCCTCATCGCAGCTCTGGTTGTTACACTTTAGAGTGAACTGTTATTGTTGCTGTGTAACTTGTGGAGTGTCCTCACCGCAGCTCTGGTTGTTACACTTTAGAGTGAACTGTTATTGTTGCTGTGTAACTTGTGGAGTGTCCTCACCGCAGCTCTGGTTGTTACACTTTAGAGTGAACTGTTATTGTTGCTGTGTAACTTGTGGAGTGTCCTCACCGCAACTCTGGTTGTTACACTTTAGAGTGATCTGTGATTGACGCTGTGTCACCTGTAGCTCTGGTTGTTACACTTTAGAGTGATCTGATTTTGTTGCTGTGTGACTTGTAGCTCTGGTCGTTACAATTTAGAGTGGTCTGTTTCTCTTGCTGTGTAATTTGTGAAAGGTGATCGACGACTTGTGCTACGCAACTCGACACAATATTAACTTGGTGAACTACGATTTGTCCTACGCAACTCGACACAATATTAACTAATCACTCTTCCCTTGGTCTAGCAGCCCACGGGACCTCTGGGATAGGTGCCTGTCAGCTGATGTTCTAAGGCGGTTACTTTCATGCTCTGACGGATTTCGGTCGAGTTCAGGCTGGCTATACTTAGGTGGAGGAAATCTTCAAATCTCAACAGCTTAACACCATCCAGCAATTCTAGGAAGTTAAAGAAAAAACAAAAGTGACAAACAAGTGACCAGTGAAAAACCAGCAGCACTATCACCGATGCTCTTTGGAATAGCTATCGATTGGGTCATGCACAAATGTCAACAACAAAAAAAATACTGATATCAAATAGGCTGACAATATTCTAGAAGACCTTGACTTTGCTGACAGAATAGTGCGTTTAAATTCAAAGCAGCCATAAATCCGAGAGAAAACAAACCATCTCCAAAATGTTTCAGGAGAAATTGCTCTCCAAATTAACTGCAAAAAAAAAAAAAAAAAACTATTGATCTACCATCCCTCTGTTTATCACTCATTTGACTACCTCTACCATCCCTCTGTTTCTCACTCATTTGACTACCTCTACCATCCCTCTGTTTCTCACTCATTTGACTTCCTCTACCATCCCTCTGTTTCTCACTCATTTGACTTCCTCTACCATAACTCTGTTTCTCACTCATTTGACTTCCTCTACCATCACTCTGTTTCTCACTCATTTGACTTCCTCTACCATAACTCAGTTTATCACTCATTTGACTACCTCTACCATCCCACTGTTTCTCACTCATTTGACTTCCTCTACCATCCCTCTGTTTCTGACACATTTGACTTCCTCTACTATCCCTCTGTTTCTCACACATTTGACTTCCTCTACTTTCCCTCTGTTTCTCACACATTTGACTTCCTCTACCATCTCTGTTTCTCACACATTTGACTTCCACTACCATCCCTCTGTTTCTCACACATTTGGCTTCCTCTACCATACCTATGTTTCTGACACATTTGACTTCCTCTACCATCCCTCTGTTTCTCACACATTTGACTTCCTCTACTATCCCTCTGTTGGCTCAGTCACACGCTTGGCTTCCTCTACCATGCGGGCCTTGCGCCTTGTTTCTGACAGCGGTATCAAGAAAGCCGACTTCCAGAAAGCCATGGCCCTCTGTATTCTAGAGAAACCACACAACAGCCATTTGGCTTCCTCTACCATACGCAACTTTAAAAAAAAAAAAAACATACCTATGTTTCTGACACATTTGACTTCCTCTACCATCCCTCTGTTTCTGATAATTGTAAACGAAAATGTAAGTCAATGTTTCTAGACATGACAGGAGCACATCAGACATATAAGACAAGACTCGTCTTGTATAGACCTTGTTAATTTTCACATTTCGGAACTATCCAAAATCAAAAACTGTTTTCAGAACTTTTTGAAAAATAAAATACTCAAAATTTTAAGACTATAAATGGTAGTCCAAAGGACGTTGTGTGGAAAAGCTCGCTCTCCTACGAGATACGCCTGGTCAAATCAGAGAGAGATGACACCAAGAGGAGACACCAGATAAGAAGAGACAGAAACGAACGGCTAACAACAGGGTGCAGGACGAGCGGTCAGAACAGGATGGAAGCATCAAGCCCAGAAATTTGGCAATACTAGACTTTAGTCACGAAAGTGACACAAATAACCCAGACCACAAATATAGGCGGGGACTGTTAGCAGCCTCGGCTAGCTAGCAGCAGTCTGAAAGTGGTCGATCTTTTCATTTTTTTTTTTATCAAAAGGACTTGGACTTAGACGTATAGACCTTGATAGATGCGCTTCCGGTATGGCGGATGATTATTTCAAGGCAAAAACTGTGAATCGGTTTTCATCGCTTAAATCAAACTTCTTACCAGTTCAAACACTTGACGGCAATGTTTTCCACCGCTGGATACTCGAGGTTATCAGGTTTCTTTAGTTGTTGCCTCGTTGGTTACACTGGCTGTGGTAAAAACAACAGGCGAGCTGGAGTTTGTAGATATACTTGTACGTATACCAAACAGGGTGTATACCAAGTGTACGTATAACTAACAGGATATATACCAATTGATGTATGGAACATGTGACATCGTATGGTGATTCCAGGCAATGCTACTACCGCTTGTGTGAATCTTTGTTGAGGTAGTACCAAACTGATGCCAAACTGTGAAATATTGTTGACTTATGTTTCAAGATTTCGGACAATAAAACACTGTCGTCTGGACATACGGATAAAGTGAACAGGTTTTAATAATTCACAATTCTGCTCCGTGGACCAAAACTCGTGAACTTTTAGGACAAGATTTTACTAGAATATCTCGTTGTTAAATTATAATTATACGAGCAACATTTAGATGTTTCATTTGCTGGAGAATGTTGGTGTTGGCTGGCCTCTTGGCAGGGTGCTACCTTGTAAACACAGAGCTGCCATGTGCAAGAGGAGAAAATGGCAAAGATCACAAGATGGGTTGGTGGATTGTCTGATGTGCGAAAGAGGAACCTATATGCCAGAAAATGAACATACGTATCGAAGATGCTTGAACTGTACACAGATAGAAATCCTAGAGGTAGAAGTCCTCGTTGTAGCATGTAACAGGTTTCATGACCCCATGATACTCTGCAAAAAAGGATATTGCAGGTACATAGGGCAGGCACCCAATGAGAGCGATAGATTGTGTAAAACGTTCACAGTGCCATTTCCAGAACATAAACGAGGGTGTCAAGAGTACAATAATACTGTTTGCTGCGATCCAGCTAGAGAAACAGGTACAGCTAAAGATGGTGAGGTTTTATGCAAGATGGAGTCAGTTCTGTGTGGACCTGGACAGTTCTTGAGGACATCCACTGATGAGTGTTCCCCTTGTCCAGCCGAAACATTCATATCTGACCACTACCACGTGAACAAAAAGTGTGAACAACTGTCTGAGAATACCGTCACACACGCGATTATCACTAGACCCTGCACTAGAGCTGCCCTCACTGTGTTTGGCTGTGAGGATGGCTACTTCAGGGATCCCACACAAGAATCTTTGCAGACAGAGGTTTTCTGTACACCGTGTCGGAACTGTGACAGGAATCTGGTAGACTGTGGCACGTTTCACGTACACCTTGTCGGAACTGTGACAGGAATCTGGTAGACTGTGGCATGTTTCACGTACACCTTGTCGGAACTGTGACAGGAATCTGGTAGACTGTGGCACGTTTCACGTACACCTTGTCGGAACTGTGA